ATCACTTAGTTCTTTTTTTGGAGTTTTGACCTATTCTTTCATTTGGGCCATATTTCTTTATCTCAGTGTACCTGTTACCTAGTAAGGGACAGAGCCTTAGGTATTTACCAGGGCAGGGCAACCCACATCACCATGCTGTGGCACTGTATGTGGGGGAGGGGTCCAAGAGGGAGCAATGCTGCTTCTCAGCTCTCAGCTGACTTTCAGCCACTTCCCCCAATTCCCCCAGTGAATTTGGCCCTTCTGGTGCTGATTCTCTTATGGGTGGTTTTTTGGATATTCTAGGATTCTGTGGATCTCTCCAATGAACTCTCCTGTGAGGCTGGGAGTTTCTCCCACTGCAGCAATCCCCATAGATTTTTTCAGTCAGGGGTTTTGAGGCTTTATTTCCCCATGCTGGAACCTTGGGTTGTACAGTCTGTCTTGCTCCGCAGTTGTTCTTCCCAGTTTATCCGCACATAAATGTGGGAGTGCAAGCCACTGCCTAGCCCACCCAGTCCTCTAGTCTCCACTCTGCCCCAGTGGCTTCCTGTCTCCGCCCCTCCTACAGATCTGGATGAATATTTCTTTAACTCCTTGGTTGTTCAGACTTCCATCCGTTCAATTTTCTGACAGTTCTGGTTGATTTTAGCTTTTAAATTTGTTGTTGTCCATCTTTTGGTTCTACGAGGAGGCAAAGGATATCTACCTATGCCTCCATCTTGGCCAGAAGTCATTTTGGGGGTTGTTTGGGGTTTTTTTTCCCCACAAATTATCTTAATTGGCTTTTTGGCTATGAAGTTCCATTACAGCAGAGACCCCCACCACTATCACACAGAAATTATGAAAAAATTATCTGTTGAAAAAAAATTAAAACTCCTAGGTACAAGCCCCAATGTCTGGAGCAATGGGAAGTGAGAATGTCAGTTATTTGAGGAGTGTACAGCAATTAGTATGGTACCTGGTGCAAAGTAAGCATTCAATAGGGGATGGCCGTCTTGTCCTGCATAAGTAATAGAGCAGGAATTATTGGAGCCTCTCAGGAGGAGCAAGCAGAAAAGGGAAGGAGAAGGGAAAGAAATGGAGTCATATGGTGGTCACTGGGGCTCCAAGTAAAGACCAGACCAGTGAGGTCTTTTCAGAGGTGAAAGGCCAAGAGGCAATTAAAGAAAAGGACAGTTAACGTTTTCTGCCCTGGACTTCAACTTTACCCTCCTTCCCTCAAGTCTTTAGTAAAATTTCGGCATGTATAGCTTGGTGTTAGTAGTATGTGGGGAATTCAGGAAGCTAGATATTGTTCAGGGCTGCCAGGGAGCAGGGGCAGTGAGATGATATAGACAGATTAAATAGATATAGATATGGATATAGATATAGATATAGATATAGATATAGATATAGATATAGGTGATATAGACAGACATCCCATGCAGCCAAGTTAGAGAAGTCAGCCAAAGTGTGCAAACAGGGCCAGAGACAACCAGGAGAGAGGCCTCAAGAATTTTCAGAAATATTGGGAGTGATGGTATTATTTTCATTCTACAGAAGATGGGTGGGTTCAAGAAAATTTTATTTAAATGTTACAGTATAGAGTGAGGGTGGATCCCAGCAGGTCAGAGGACTTGGGATCATCCAAGTGATTAACACTGCAGTCACAGGTAGATCATTTATCATATGGTTTATGCCAAGTCCCCTTAGCTGGATTAAAACCTCCTTGGAATAGCAACTATAACAAGGTATTGAATTGAATCTGTATGGCTTTTCTTCCTCTACATGAATTTCATTCCTGTAGATCAACCAGATCCTGCCAATAAACTTCTGAAATAGTATGACAAGTAACAGTATGTATTTCCCCATTTTCAATATAAGACATTGAAGTCTCAGAGTGGTGACATTCTCTTTCCTGGGTTACAGAGTCAACAATGAGCCAACCCAGCCTGGGGGAGTAGGAAGAGCCTAGATACATGAGAGTGAACCCGGATGTCAGAGTGAAATCTAGCTTTCCTTCCTATTCCCTCTCTTAATGTCTAGAGCCACTCACACAACAGCCATGTCCTCTCCAGCCCCACAAAGCTATTGTCTATTCCCCCCTAGTCTCATATTTACAACCTAAGGCAAAATCTTTAGACAAGCCATTTAACAGGTGAAAGAGTGATAACAGCAGCATCTCCACAGGGCTGTGGAATGAAATGAAACAAATTATTTAATTAAATTAAAGTCTTTAGCTCAGTGTCCAGCACATAGAGATGTTCAGTGAATGTTCTCTCTTTTCTCTCTTCCCTCTGCAGCTCTCCCTTCTTTCCCTGTCTGTAAATTTAGGTTTGATGTTTGGTCTATCATGCCATGTTCCTTATGTTTTATTGTACTTTGATGGTTCCTGAGACATGACTGATCATTTGCCCTTCACCTGGGGGTTACCCCGAGGAGGGGGACGAGAGACTGGGCTGGGCTTGGGTTTGGGATGAGAGAGCCAGAGAGAAAGCACCAGGCCATGTTTAAGGTACAAGGACAGAGATCCAGACTGGTGGAACCAAATCTGTTCTCAAGTTCAAAAGGTGACCTCAAAGCCAGAACAAAGGGTACCCAGGTCATTGGATGGTTTCAAAGCAAATACTAGTCCATGTGAAAACATTTTTCATTGAAAGAGAAACATGGTCTGGAAAGGTTATTGGTGTATTAGTTGGCTCAGGCTATCATAACAAAATGCCAGAGAGTGGCTTAAACAACAGAATCTTAAATTTCTGTTAAATTGCTCACACTTCTGTAGGTTGGAAGTCCAAGATCAGGGTGCAGCATAGTTGGGTTCTAGTGAGAGTTCTTTCCCTGGCTTGTAGATGGCCTCCTGCTTGCTGTGTCCACACATGGCAGAAACAGCAAGCAAGCTCTCTGGTCTTTCTTCTTAGAAGGGCACTAATCCCACTAGAAAGGCTCCACTCTCGTGACCTCATCTAACCTAATTACCTCCCAAAGGCCTCATCTCCAAGTACCAGCGCAGTGGGGGTTAGGGCTTCAACATTTGGGTGTATGGGGGTGGGAGGAAGGTGAGGGGGAGATCATACATATGGCCCATAGCAATAGGCAACTACCACAGTACAGCTTTTATTTTACTTCAGTGTGTACAGTTTTGCCCATTAAAGAGAAATCTTTCAGAAACTTGACTTTGTTTTTTTTATGCTAAAATAATTTTTTTATTTTAACTGTTGTTCAAGTACAGTTTTCTGCCTTTTACCCCCAGCCCAGCCCAGCCCAGCCCTCAGCCCACCTCCCTCCTGTTTCCAACCCCCCTCCTTGTTATTGTCCATGTGTCCTTTATACTTGTTCCTGCAAACCCTTCCCCTTTTCCCCTGAAATTCCCTCCCCTCTGGTCACTGTCAGCCTGTTCTCAATTTCAGTGTCTCTGGTTATATTTTGCTTGTTTGTTTGTTTTGTTGATTAGACTCCTGTTAAAGGTGAGATCATATGGTATTGACTTTGTTTCTAACCAAGTGAAACATATACTTTTGAAAGCACAACATTCATTTTTTTGTTTACTGACACAACGCTCAAGGGTATTCCACTCATCAGTTTACGGGTTTCCTTGTAAATATTACTATAAATATCTTCCCATATATTTGATGCAGGAGTTGAATTCTGCTATTAAGTCTGTTTGTTTGGGTTTTTTAAACAAATTTGGAGCAGATAGTTCTTTGTCAAACCACCTTTCTTCTTCTCAAGAGCCATTGTTCCCTTAAAGGAAGTGAACATTATATCTGCAACACTGACTTCCTTACAAAGAAAAATTAGGGATCTCCTTTTCCCCTGTTTTATGCCCTAGGTTTAAATTCTTGGTCAAAAGAAGATCTCTTTGTAATTAACAAAATGCACAGGACAATAAGGTACATTTTCTTAGGAAAATAGGTGTTCGGATCTATGACATATAATAAATTATATAGATTGCATTCAGTAAGTTATTTATTACTGATATCCTAATATGGGATATTAGAGGCAAGTATATTGACCATAAACAGGCAAGTAATCCTTTTGTCACATGAGTATAACATTCAGACCAAAAACTATATTATGCCTTAAATATTTTGTAACTAAATTAAATGATACATTTTCCCATTTAAGGTAACTTAGGGTTTTAAAAAATTAGTTTTCCAAATATCCCTGACCTTTAAAAAGTGCCACAACACATGGTAGCCCTTAAAAATATTAGATATTTTTAAGGAACACTGCAGAATATAAGCAAGAAATGCTAGGCAAAGAAAAGCCTTCTGAGGAGCCATATTTTGGTAAAAGAAAAATACTCCATGCCACAGCAAGTGAATGCCACCTGCCTGGAAGGCCCTGACTGAACTTGGTGACCAGGCACTATGGGCCCAGCCTAGACATTGATGAGTTTTTGTCAAGCTCTATGTCAGAGCACTGGATGGTCTTGTTAATACGTGACAAAGGCCTGCAGGGAGAAGCAGAAAATGCTCACAGAAACCATGTCCTAGCATGATCATCATCAAACTCAATTAATAGTAATAATATTAGGTAACCTTTATGAAGACCTTACTTGATGCAAAACTCTGAGCCAAGGGCCTTTCATGCTTTATTTCACTGAAATCTCCCAACCCTCTAGGAGGTAATTACTGCTTTATTAAGCCAGTATTTTACAAAAGGTGGGGCTTAGAGAAGTTAAGCAATTTGCCCAACAACTGTTAAGTGGAAATCTTAGATATGAATCTAGGCAGTTGGGTATTTTATCAAGTAGAGTTACAAACCCCCAGTGGTAGGTATCAAATTTGTCCCCTGACTTCCCTAAAGCCCCAGAGGGTGCTGATGGGACATTGCACAGTTGAAGGGGGCCTGATTCAGCCTCTCAGTTCATATGTTCTCAGGAAGATACTCTCAGTTCCTGAAAAAAAGCTTTTCTGCAAGCATTATTGCAATGAAGATAGGTGTAATTTTGTGTTCTACTAAAATGAATTAAGATAACTCTAACAGGGAAGGGCCACTGGGTTGGCACCAGCTTTGAAGCCTACAAACTCCACCTATGATTCAGTCCACAGGTTATGTTCTCAAGAACTTTTCCAGGTGGAGGGTCTGCTGATTCTGTGACCTGTAAGAAAAACAGAAGGGAGTGAGCGGTTGCTGTCATCTCCTGTCTTTGCTCCTCTCCTTTCCACCTCTGCAAACAGCCCCAATCCCATTCTTTTCAAGGAAATCACTGTCCATGTCATCTTTTTGAAAGTGGGGGAGGGAAATGGGGTCCAACCTGGGTCAGATGGGGACTTGGAGAGAAGCAGTTATGCAATAGACATGTACTGAAGCAGGACAGCACAGGTAAATGGGAAGCCAGCAGAGTCTTTGGAGCTAAAACCCCCTTCTTTCTTTTCCTTTTCTCCATTCTCTGGCTTCTCTCTGGCCTGATCAAAATCTGTCCTCAGGAAAGGATCTGAGGCCGGCTGCCTCAGTGGGAATAAAGTCAGGAAGTTCATGTGGTGTCTCTGTGCCCTATTAAGGGCTTTTAAGAATCAGTGAGCAAGGAGGTAGGCTTTGTCTTGTTCAGGATTAATTCCCCAGTGCCTAGATCAGTACCTGGCTCCTTAAACTTTGTTGAATAAATAAAATCTAGAAGCCAGGGAGTGCTTCCTGGGAACCTAAAATCGCACATCTCTTGGCCCTGGGCTGTGGACCTGTGGGCCACAGGTGCAGGACAGGAGCTTCCAGCCTCAGCATTCCACATCTCTTCCTGGGATGCAGAGCCTCCTAGTGGAAGTCCAGGGCTGCAGCCTCCTCCCTAGATGGGTTTGCCTCTTGAAGGTTTGCTTGCCTCTTTCCTAGTGCTGAGACCTAAAGAACAGCTTAGACTTCAAGTTAGAAGGAGTGGGGGAAAGGACACAATCCCAGTATCAGAAACTACAAAAAGTGGGTGTAAAGCAAGAGGTTGAGGGGACAGGTTGTTGTCTGAGTGCTTAGAGAGGGTGTCCCAGAGCAGCAGGTGAGGTCATCCAAGGTCAGGATCTGTAGCTCTGTTTCAGCAGCTCAGAAACTCCATTTTGTCAGTGCACCCAGACATAAGGAAACTCAAGGGAAATGAATCATACCAACCAAATTCTTAAGACTCTACATCAAAAACCAATAACAAGAATAACTGAGTTGTTGAGAACAATGCTCTTCCCTGTAAGAACAGCTACATGGGCAGTCAAATCATTATCTCAAGTCAGAGCAAGGGGAATCAAGTGAGTGACCTCAGAAAAAGATACTATAAAATTATGAGAGCTGTATGTATCCATCTCCAGGATAGCTATCCCTGCCAAGAAGGCCAGCAGTCAGAAGTGCAAGAGAACACCTTCCCTTTCTGTTATTCTTCCTACAACCAGGAACTTTCTGTTTAGCTTTCTTTAGAGCATTACTGCCCTCAGAATATACTTCAGTTGCCTTGGATGAATGTGAATGACTAGAGTGGGTTACCTCATATAGAGTATGTTGGTGTTTTTTATTTTCTTGGTTGACTGTTTTTACTCGTAATATTGTTAGAGGAGACTAACAGATTCTGGGAACAGCTCATTGTCCAGTATTGAAGCAGCTGCAGGAAAGGACTGGGAGGATAGATGGTGGCAGGGCCATCAGGATAGGAACCAAAGCCTTTCCTTGCTTCCTACCTGACACCTTATTCCAGCCTGTGGATTTAAAAACCTTCAGTGTAGTTATTCGGTGATTGGTCAGAGGCATGAAAGTTGTCACATTTCTGTTGGCCAGTTTTATTTTTGCATGTGATGTTGATTTCATATTCACATACACATACGCATATGCTGTGTGTATCCCTTAAATCTGGCAGTTTCTTTGACTCACCTTCCCCCATTCTGTTCTCTCATGGTCTGAGCTGTCCTGTTGCGTGGCTTTAAACTCATCAAATTTAGGAAACTGACTGTGGGGAGACCTGCGAATTACAGTCCTCAATTGTGTCTTGCTCTTAACACCCCATTCAGTAAGTCTCTGCTGGTGGATTGTAGGTAAAGAGGATACAACCCCACCCACTGCAATGCCCATCTCCCCAGGAATGCTTCCTGACTTACTTTGCCACACACCCCCATGTCCCCGGGGAGCAGCTGGAGAGGTTCAGTCTTCACTGAGCCCTACCTGATTTCCTCCGTAACAGTGATACAGCTGCTGTCAGCCACCTGAGAGCCAAATCCAAAAGTACTTCCATCTTTTGCTATTGTATAATTTCGACTTGCTCTGGCCTAAAGTCAGGCTATCAGGCACGGAGCAATTATGGAGAAGAATGTAGCTTCCCAAACCTAAAAAGAGCGCCCTTGCCGTGCCATTGTTCCCACAATGCCGTGACTCGGATTCGAACCGAGGTTGCTGCGGCCACAACGCAGAGTACTAACCACTATACGATCACGGCGAGCTACCGGGACGCTGCGAGCCAACTTCTGTCAAATATTGTCCTCTTGTATAAGGCCACCATTCTTCCCAAATTGACCAGTGTCGATCAGGTTCCACTGGCCCTCGTAATGACCCTGAGGCAGAGTACGGGCATCGTGAACTCCCGGGTCAGCCGAAATCCCCGCAGGTCGCCCTAAGGGACCATAAAAGAAAAGATATGAAAGTGCTTTGCAAACTTAAAGGACTCCAGTGAGGCCAGGCTGACGTAGCCTATAGGGACGTGAGACCCCAAAGTCGACCAACCGGTGGCCCTAGATAGATCCTTCTCACACCCACCGTGCCCCGGCCGGCGCTCACGCTGTCTGAACAGATTCTGGTTCGGAATGGGGCTGTCTTTTAAGTTCTATAAGAAGGAAAATCAGTCCCGACTCCCCCGCACAACTTCCTTTGTGACGCCGGGAAGGGGAAGACCCAGCGCAGCCTCCCTGGAAGTGAAGAGGAGGAATCCGGCCCAGGAACGAGTGGAAACTGAAATCAGGAAAGCAAGGAGACAAACGCTCCAGCTTAGGCTCAGAAAACGGCGAATCTGGGACTGGGCGGGAACAAGCCATGACAAGTCAGTGACCCGTCGAGGGGCGTGGCATTTAACACACAAGATCTCGGAAGAAGAGACATGCCTTCGGATCCCCGGTAGCTCGCCGTGATCGTATAGTGGTTAGTACTCTGCGTTGTGGCCGCAGCAACCTCGGTTCGAATCCGAGTCACGGCATTGCGTAAAGCAATAACACGGCAAGGGGTTCAGTTTTTAGAGCTCTTCTCCATTTTTCGCGAGGTATTTTATAACTTTCGGAAAATGGATTCCAATCCCTTTGTGACAGTGCAAAACGACGTTTTCTCCAGCTTTGGCCAAATTGGGCATACGACATATATAAGCTTCCAGTTACTCTGGCTCTACGCATGTTGTTCTTGGAGACAAGCACAAAGCACTCACAAGGCTACTTTGTCACAGGTCTGTAAGAATTTCCATGGCAGCGCTGGAAACGGATTCCCAATAATAGGGAGAGAAGGCTTCGCAGAGCAGGTGACCTGTGAAACAGCTCTTGAAGGCACAAAGAAAATTTGTCATCAGCCAGAATAACCTCTTGTGCAGAAGCTTAAAGAACTATGTATCGTAATTCCTCTTTGCAAATTTTCTCTCTTCTCCATCCCCAAGACGCCCAAAGGCCCTGGCCTGACAAGCACTTCTCAAGGACCTGTTGAGTGAATGAATGCAAGTAATTAGGGAAATGGGAAACGACTCTGATGGAAAGCCAAGAGATGAACTGAAAAAGGTAGACAAATTTCTTGCAGTCTGGAATGTGGGAGGAAGTGAATGGTGAAGCGATCAAACGTTTCAATTCGTGTTTAGCAAGATCCCTCTGGCGATTCTGTAGGGTGTGTGTGTGTGTGTGTGTGTGTGTGTGTGTGTGTGTAGGGGGGGTGGTTGATTACAGCAAATGACACTGGTTCGTGGCTTCACTTTTCAGAACCAGTGGTGCGTTCTCAGTTTAGCAAAAAGCCACCGCGTACTTTGGACTCGGCCTGGTTCTGGACGCCGTGGAGGTGGGAGCACTGATAGACAAGAAAAACCCAGCCTGGGCCCTGCTACCGCCAAGGGGCACAACAGAGGTGGGCACCGAGTGCGGCGGGAGCACTGCGGAGGGGGCAATCAGGGCCTTCGGAGAAAAGGAGAAGCTGCAAGGAAGTGGGTGTTGGAGGGAGGGTAATGGCAGGGTGTGATGCTTTGAATCCCTTCTGCGTGGCCAACCGGATTGTAGGGTGTCCACCTCCTCCGCAGAGGCGGCGTTGTGTTACTTCTGGGGGGATCAACGAGGAAGAGAACCCCTGAGGAGGGCCCCTGAAAGCCCAGGGTCCCTTGAAGGGTCTCCCGGGCACAGAAGATGGGTGTCGTTCAAGGAATGGGAGTTAAAGCTTGTGAACACTCTGATTTCCGGCCAGTCCCGTACCTGATGCCCAGTCACCTCTAAATTCCTGTTTCATTCACATGGAACCCACCCTTCCCCTCTGCATTATCACCGAATCGGAGGCTAAAGGACCAAAGCAAGAAAGAACCCTAGCAACTGACGAGAGGGCAATGCGCCTGCGCATTCTCAGACTCAGTCTTAGGCTGAAACCCCGCCCCATAGGCGGGCCGTTCAGTGACGTATAAACTGGGAAAGCGTATGACTACTGAAAGGGACACTAAAAAGGACTCAGTCTCAAGGCTCCGGTAGCTCGCCGTGATCGTATAGTGGTTAGTACTCTGCGTTGTGGCCGCAGCAACCTCGGTTCGAATCCGAGTCACGGCATTGTGGGAACAATGGCACGGCAAGGAGCTTGCATTTTATTTTTCCTCCTTTTCCCAGTTGATAATGCTTTATAAATACCATAACTCTTCTTGAAATAAACCACTGTACCTCTCTACCTTGAATGCTGAGCGACTTCTAAGATCACTCACTACCTTCAGTAAGTCTCATTTAACGCTTCAGCTCCATGCCAAACAGTTTGAAAATCGGCGTCCAAATCACTCTCCTACAGCAACAAAACAGCGCCCCTCTCACTCCACGACCTTGCTATATTTTTCCTTTTCATGCATTTTTTAAAAACTGAATTCTTCATTTTTAAAGAGAGACTGCATGTGCACAAGTCCAGTGAAAAGTAACCCTCCTTCTCATTCTTCAGCCCATTCACCAATTATTGCCAGTTTCAGATATATCTTTCCATGACAGTCTTTGTATAAACACTTATATATGTATGTATGTATGTATGTATGTATGTAAATATATTCCCCCTTGCTTCTTGCAAAATACAAATGGCCTCCTCCCTTCTCTTCCAAAAGTCAGAACTTGATGTGACAGATTTGCTCTGGTAGGCAATCTCCCTTTACAGGAAAAAATAGTACACATACCTGAAAGGAATCACCATCCACCCTGATCTTGTCCTTTTTCTCCCCAAGCCCTGGCTCCTGGCTGGGGAGGGTAGGAGATGTTTGCATTGAAGAGTGTAGAAAGTTATTCATTACTGTGCCCATAAAAAACTTTGGATGGAAGCCTACCCTGTGTTGGGAAGCAGCCCTATTTTGATTTCAGGTTGGAAGTGCAGGAAAGCATACTGGATTTAGAACTGGGAAGAGGAACTTGTTAATATTTGGAGATTCTCTACTTCCATCTCTCACCAATCTTACTGTCAGGATCCAACTTAAGTCACAAACCACTGAAGTTAGAAAATTCAAGTTCATTGAAGGCAGAACTGAATCTTACTATGTTTGTGTTCCAAGCATACATCTTCTCCATAAATATTTGAACAGAGCTTTCTTATGGAGTCCATAAATGAATGAAGTGGCCCAGTTTGCTTTTTGGCTGCATCTTAAATTGTATTCTTTCAACACAAAACCATGTTATTTTCATATCAGACAAATAGAAAACTTGGCCCAAATGAAGCTCCATCTACATCCAGAATCTCAAAGAACAGACTGCACATGAGTGTACTAGGATATATTAATCCTCTCAAGGTTTCAGACCAAGTTGTGCCCAAGGCAAGGCAAAGACCAGACTTAGAGGAAGGCAAAACCCAGAAGGGATCAGAGCTCAGGACAGTACTGAGCATCCAAAGTTAGGCACAAAAGTGAGGACACCCCATTCAGTCAGTACCCAGAAAGAAAAGTGAGAGGTAAGGACTAGGCCTTGGGACATGCATAAACTTAGGAGGTTAATGGAGGAAGACAGGATGTGGCCTGAGAGAAGAGAGAAGAACCAGAAACCGTCATTTTAAGTAACATTTGGGAGAAGATTTCAAGCACAAAGGAGGTCAGCAAACTCAGGATCTGCAAAGGAGAAAGAGGAATGAATCAAAATCATTAGGTTTGCTACTTAGAAGTCATTGTTGACTTTAAAAACTTTCCATGAGAACAACTGGACAATATGTATCAAGAGTCAGAAAAAATATATATACTCTTTGCCCCAATAATTCCACTTTTGGTAATCTTGCCAAAGAAAATAATCCTAAATTTGGAAAAGTTATCTGCATAAAGATGTTTATTACACAATAACTTAGAGGAGAGGAGAGTGGAAATAGCCTAAATGCTCAACCAATAAAAGTGCTGATGAACATTTGGTGGTATATTAAATAGTCAATTTAAAACTATTAAATCAACTGTTAATATCATTTCCAACTAAAAAGAGTAAGATTTCCTTAAAGAAATGACTGTTTACATGTCTGCAGCAGGGCAAGTACAAGTTGAAAGTGAAATATTTTGTGTAAGAAAGCAGGTAAGTGCTTAAAGATTGATGGGACCAAGTCAAAAAGACACAAGCCTTCTGAAAGGGCTCCTATTGGACAAATTTAGGGCAATTTGAACATCAAAGACAATGTTAATAGTAATGGATTATATCATATTGAATTTTTTTAAAAAAAGAATTTTTGAGACCATGGGGAGAGAGAGAGAAAGGAAGGAGGAGGAGGAAGAAGAAGAGAAGGAGGAACTCTCGATAAAAGAATTCCAGATAATAAATGCGGAAGAAATAACAGAATTAGAGAATCAGCATTTTGCAATCCCCAGTAGAATAACAAATGCAAGCATAGATTATCATGGAAGTTAAAACCACTGGGTAAAACACTTTTGGAAGCCACTAGTGAAAAGGTCTTAGGAAATCACACCAGAGCTTACTTTAAGTTGCAAAGTTGAGAGATTTGATAAAATCCAACTTAACCAAGATATCATATCAAGCCTAGCATCACTAATAAAGATGCAAATGTGCACTATCAGCCTCCCAGTGTGACACACTGGGAGATCCACAACATCCCCTATGTAGCGATCTTTTCAAAACTGGAAAGTCCTTTAATTTTTTAATTTTTTAAATTTAATGTTTCTTGTACTTTTTTCCCATTACCATTTAGTCCCCTTATACCCCTCCACCCCTGGCTGGAAAGTCTTTTTAAAAATGATTACCCTAAATCTAATCATGAGGAAACTATGGGAAAATCCAGAATGTGGGACATTCTACATGACAACTGCCTCAGACACTTCAAAATAATCAATGCCTCGAACAACAAATTCAATGGGGAACTGTTTAAGGTTAAAAGAAACTAAAGAAACTTAAACAAATACAATGGGGTAATCTTGATTAAATCCTAAATTAAAAATATATGTGACATTTTGGAGGGAAAATAGACAAATTTCAGCATAGACTGTAAAATAGACATATTAAGTTGTGATAATGGTTTTATGGCCCTATAGAAGAATTTCTTATTCTTAGGAAATAGCTGCTGAAGTATTTAGAGGTGAAGTGTCATGATATTTTCAACTTGCAATCAAGTGCTTATGAAAAAAAGAAAAAGGGATAGAGCCAGTATGGCAAAATGTTAAAAACTAGTGAATCTAGGTGAAGGGTATACAGGTTTCCACTGTGCTTTCTTTGAGC